TTGTATTATGTCATCAGAATTTGTATATTGCATGTGAATGCAATATTAAAAGCAAAGAATTACAAACATAACCTTTTCTTCTTATTTGTAAATTATTATTTATAATTTTTTATGTTCTTCTGTATATGGCATTTTGTAAATTAAAGTATATGAAGTATCTAATGTTCTTTTTTTTAAAATACATAGTCCACTCTGATATGGATATTATTGAGTAATTATGGTGGAAAAAGAGTATCCAAGGAGATTAATTAAACCGGGTTAAGATTTATTGCACTTAATTAAGGGTAATTTTGAAAAAAAGGAGTAATTTTAAATTATCAATTAATTTTAACTAACTTTAATTTATTGATTTATGTGGATTATTTAAAGGTGAGTTGTAAATAAAAAATGGAGAAAGTATATAATAATTTAAACATTTAACGGGAAATTTAATATGAAAGTAATATAGAACCATAAGTGTAAATTCATTGCAACTATGGGCTCAGAGCTTATGGTAATGTGAATAGGACCAATGTGAAGTTGAATTTAACAATGATTAATTAAGTTATACATTTGTTAGTTGCCATATATGCTAATTAATTATGTGTGATTCCATTTGAAAACCAACAAATTACTATTCAGCTGAGATATTTGTTTCCATGATGGTACTAGTTGCGTAGTGGACTTCCACATTATATATTGAATAAAATTACTTTGGCTCCTGTACAACACATGAAGTTTGAAAAAGAATCATGCTTTATAAATATTACAATTTATTTGTAATAACATTTAATATTGATAAAAAATGATATAAACATTATACATATTATAAAAGTTAATTTTTATTGGGTTGAATAAAGTGGCTTACCACTTATACCAAAATAAGGAAAAGCGGGAGGCCTAGTCAACAAAAACATTGTAAAGTCCAAGGAAGCCACATAGAGTTTGCCTAGCCTTACCTACATTTGTACTTTATGAACATTAAATCTTGTTATTAAATTCTTACCACATACTTTTAGATTCACCTAACCATGAAAAATGTCACAAAACTTATATATAGTTGACATATTTATTTTATCACACAACCTTTTAACATTTTTCTGATTTTTTTTTAAATGGAATGAAATGGTTTTATGGATGACCTTCAAAGTCATCTCTTATATTATTCAAAATTTTACTTTTTGTTTCCCTCTAAACCTCTAAAATCAATCATGGAGATAAGATTATAATTTAGGCGAGACTTTCACATGCTATTATATTTTCTTCATTCATTAAGATGGATGGCATTGACAAATGAATATATTTGTTTTAATTACACAATTGCTAATTAAGTATGAAAACCAATTGCGAACCCAACAGATCAAACTGAATAAGTGTAATTTGTCCTTTTTAACACTAGACTTGTTAGAGATAATATTTAATTTTCTTTGCCAACGAGATATTACTTAATTAATTCATATGATATAGGAAAAAAACTCGTTTAGTTAAAAGCATCAATCAAGATTCATTTGTATAAATCAATAAGTGGCCAGGGACCAATATATAGAGGACAAAAATCAGGATAACTGAATACTATTTTCCTTTGATATTTTAATGGACAAGATTTATCTAAATACTTTTCAATTTCTTGCTCAAGTGTCTCTCTTTAACATATCCAACATGCCCAAAATTCAAAAACAATTAAGAAAATCTGCATATATGAGCAACTAGTTTAATTGAGGTTGATTAATATTATATCATATAATGAGTATAATAGTGACCTTAAGGATAAAATAATTTTTCTTTGAATAAATAAGATGAAGTCTTCTTCCCAAAAAAAAAAAATTGAGAGAGAAAGCACACGTGCCAAATGATCATATATATAATTCAGGAAAATTTATATATAAGGACCCAAAACTTTAATTGCTATGTTAAAAGTTCTTAAAAGTTACTTCTCCTGTCCTTGATATAAGATATATTTAACTAATTTGATTAGATTAAGAAAGTTATGTAAGTTAGTTAATTATAAAAAATATGACATGTTTTTCTTAAAACACCATAATCATCTTCCTTAATATCTTCCCTCCTTCTTCTACTTGATTATAGTTGAGGGAATATCCATATGGGTAATTTAGGAAAAATTGATAAATATAAGAAATAGGTCTTATATTCAGGACCAAAATCAACTCAACAATTAGGTCCTATATTAAAGGCAGGAGGAATATTATCATGTTTTAATATTAAATTTGGTATTAAATCTCGCATGACTTAGTAACAAGGTTTAGATAAATTATGTTATCATTTATCAAATTGCAAGAGTGCTTTTACCAAAAAAAAAAAATTGCAAGAATGCTATACTAACCGGTTTGGGTCTAACAGAAGATGCTAGTTTCTTACAGCATGGTGAATCAAAATTTAAATTTCACTCCAAAAAAGTGTTTACATTTAGTCTCTGATAATGCCCGAACATGATTTCATCTTATAAGGGATATATGTGCCTAGCGACGAAAAAAAAAAAGAATACTATAATTAATGCGTTTTTTTAAAAAGATTTTCACTCTTGCATAATTTAATATCCATATAAATTGATTTTAATTTTTAATTTTTTTAAATAGAAACATTTTAGAATCTAGGTTATTAAATTCATTTTTTTTTTATAATTTACATAATCCTGGCTAGCTGGTACCCTTTTTCTTTTTTTTTGGTCCAACCGAGCTGGCTAGTGATGAAATTCTAATTTTATTGTTATTAGTTGGTGAATTTGCACATAGATTAGTCAAACGATTAATTTTATATAATTAATCGGTTGAAGCAGTACCTGCTACTAATTAATTTTTGTTGGCTTTGCGTAATTAAAGTCATATGGGGTAGGAAAATCCATTAATAAATTATATCATCCGTGACATCACTTGTCAATAAAAAATTCTGTGAGCTGGTGGTTGAAAGATATATTAATTATACTCATTCTTAATTTATTTTATTTTAATATTATTAATAATTGACAATGTATGAAATTAATATTTAATTATAACTATGTTATGCGTATAAGTATAACTAATAGAGTAAATTTATGTATGGTGGAAAAAATGCAATAATATTAAATTAAATCACTAATCTTTTTTGTTTCAATTTAATCAAGGGCTTCTCCTTTCGAAACTTAGAGTACAAAGGGTTTTCATCTTCCTCAACAAATACACTTCTCGATATTTGAACTTGAAATTACTAATCATTTTTGTAAACAAAATAAATAACTAATCATTTTAACGTGCATCGATACATACAAATCATTAATGATTGTAAATCACCCCTCATTTATAGAGATGGTTGGAATTCCCTTTGATCCCTTTACATCATCCTAAGTCTCATTTAATTTGATGGATACTTCTCTTCGAATAGATCCCTATAGAATCAAGGAAACGGAAAAAAAACAAAGGAAAGGAAAAATGTGGGAAACAAAAAACTTTCTTTGGCACTTGATGTTATATAATGTAATCATACTTAACGGAAGGTAAATTATGTGCTCATAGAATTCTGGCTACAGATGCTTCTAATTAACAAGAATCAAGGCATTTTATCCAGCGTAATGCATGCATGAAACATAGGAACCTAGAAAATAAAAACAGAATAGAGATTGAAACGCAAAGTGCAATATATATATATATGGTTGTCGTGATTTTGGCCCAACCTAATGGGCATCATATATAAATTAAAAGATTAAGGATTATTTAGTACCTTTTTCATATGTGTTATGCACTTTAAAGTATTTTGTCATTAATATAATATCGTGAAGTATTTTTAAGTGTACTTAACACTTTAAAATATTTCGTAGTTTATTTAGTATCCTGAAATATTTTTTATGTACATCTAATATTTGAAATATTTTATAGTTTATCTAATATTTTGAAATATTTTTTCATACTCAGTCAGCATTCTAAAGTAGTTTATGATTTCTCCGGCACAATAAAAGTATTTTTCTATGTGTGTCTGGCACCTCAATGCTTTAAGGGCAGCATTGTACCATAAAATATTTTAGAATGCTGGACATACTTAGAAAAAAAACTTTAAGGTGTTGGATAAACAACAAAAATACTTGAAAGTATTGGACACATGAAAAAATTATTTTACAGTGCTGGGCATAAAATACTTTAAAGTAACGGATATATTTGAAAAAAAACACTTTAGGATACAGAATGAAACTTAACACTTCATTAAATATCAAATCGTGCAAATTCTTTTTATTTGAATTCTCATTAAGAGAGTTGCTCATATTTAATGTCTAACTAACAATATCTCGAACGGGATTTTTTTCTATAAAAAGAAACCTGTGTTATAATAAAAATTTAAAATCATTTTCTTCCTCAGTTGTTTTAGCAATTAGCATTCAGTTTTGGGTATTTGTATGTATAAATTTAAGTTAGCTTATTAGCTTATTATTTAGAACAAATGAACAAAAAAGAAAACACGAAAAATTGAGTTAATTTATTATGAGATGATGTTTGCAGTTTCCACTGTAAAATTTAAATATCAATACTGCGAGAAAAAGTTCCTGACGTCTTGTAGTGGAAATTTCAATCAGCGATTAAAAGCTTGAAAGATTTAATTTTTGGTTCAAAATAATGATAATTTTGAATAAATTCTGACAATTCAATTAGTCTTCAATTACATTAAACAGGATTTAATCACTACTAAAATGACTAAACGACAAAATATTATTTAAAACAAATTACTTTTCAACAGAGAGAATCCAAACTCATTATAACTCATTATAGATCATTAGAAATGATTGGGTATAATCTCAATCCTAGCTTGACTATTTGCACATATAGAGTGACCTTTGTGGTAGTGTGCTCTCCAAAAGGGAAAAAAAAAACATTTGTAAATTTTAGAAAAATGATCTAATGAGTTAAATGCTTTTGAAACAACAAAGCCAGGGAGATTTCAGTATATCAAACAGAAAATAATAAAAAATAATCTTGGCGGGACATCCTTCTATATATATTGCACAAGCGTTGTACGTGTGGGCTCATATTGTAGACAAACATCCTTCCCTCCTCTTCTGACTTGAGACATATTCTCTTAGAGAGAAGAATAAGAATATGCAGAAACATATATATGAAGCAGTGTGTTAGTTCATCAGAGAAAACCCAGAAAACTTTTAAGGTCTCTGCAAATTTTGGGTCGGAGAAGAAGAGAAGAAGAAGAATGGGGAAAGGAAGGGCGCCTTGCTGTGATAAAACTAAAGTCAAGAGAGGACCATGGAGTCCTGAAGAAGACCTTAAGCTCATTACCTTCATCCACAAACACGGCCATGACAATTGGAGAGCCCTTCCTAAGCTTGCAGGTATGTCTTATTATTCTTGTGTTTAAACTTAAAACCATCTTTTTGGTTCTAAATTCTCAGTCTTTTCAAATGGGTCTTCAAGAGTTTGCAGTTTCAGTGCTTGTAAAATGCATTATATATTGCTCTGTTCTATTGTTTCTCCTAAATCTGCAGTTCTTTTAATACAGAAAACTGCAGTTTAGGAGGCTATGGCTTGGAGCTTTTATATATATATATATATATATATATATATGATTCAAGAGTTTTAAGCCAGAGTCTCTGTCGTATTGGTTTTGTTTGTTCATATAAATTGGTAAGCCATTTTTATCAGCAAATGTATGGCTTCGCGCTGCAAAATCTGCAGAATTTTCAGACTTTGAATCTGAAACTCTATTATTGTATTGGAGATGTTTGTAATAAACGCGATGTTGATTCTTTTTTCGTTAGTTTCTGGTGTGAACAAGTATGCAAGTATTTTTTTTAATATAAATAATACATGTGTGGATAAGAATATTTATTGCTTTTATTTTTATTTATTTTATCAAATTACTTGGTCTACGCAATGAGCATATGTATGACTTTCAGGAAAATTTGCATTCCCCTTTCAATATTTAGAACATTATTTGAGGAGTTGCTAGGAGTCTAGAAATGAATTGTATTAATTATTTTCTATTTATAAAATAGTATTTTTTTTAATACATGTTGTAATATTAATATTGATTTACAACGTTTGTTTTGGTAAAGTGATGACAAAATGCAATGTCTTACTATGGAGTGTTATTTTTTATTGGGTCAAATTGTGGGCCCTCCCACTACCAAATATTGGAATATTGGACCCCAGAAAATCAAATATAATAATACAATATTTTTTATGATGATGATGATTGTGCATGTTCACCTACCTAGCCGGCTTGAGTCTCATACCAGATAGGGAAAATTACCATATTCATTTCCCCACAATTTTCCTGCACCATTCTGTAAAAGCAAGGAAAAAAAAATTAAAAAAAAGGCTAAAACTTGAATTTCCTTAAAAGCAAAGAACATTAAAATTCACTTTTATACTGTTCCATTCTTTTTTGTTTCTTTTGGATATCATATCTAAAGATCAAGTAATGATTTGGGTATTTTTTTTTAAATTCATTTTTGCATAATACTTATTAAATTTTTATGTTGAAAATATTATTGTGATATGAAATTGAAGAATAATTTGTGGTGTGGATATATGTGGGTGTTAGGATTGGTGAGATGTGGGAAAAGCTGCCGTTTGAGATGGATCAACTACTTGAGGCCTGATGTGAAGCGTGGCAATTTTTCTAAGGAAGAAGAGGACACCATCATAAGGCTTCACCATGCCTTTGGAAACAAGTAAGTCCTCATAAGTCTTATTACTTCTTATCAACTTTATATGTCTTATATTGATATCGATATCAATGATATTTACTCTCAAACAATTATTCATGACAATTTTTATTGAGAAAATAAAAAAAGAAGATAATTACTACTCTTTCAGTTCTAAATATAAAACCCACTTTGTAATGTAAATTATACTACAAAAATGGTCTTATATTTAGGACTGTAAGAATATCTTTAAACTAGACTAGGTTTTTCTTGAGGTATATTTGGATGGAACTTACATGACGTGCGATACCCATCAAAAGTTGTCTCTCTTTCTTTCTGTTTTTTCACCCCTTTGATTCTAAATTGAACTCAGAGAAAGCTCTCAACTCTTGTTTCGTTTGAATCCGTCTTTGATCATATGAGGGCATGATTCTTGACAAAATATGCCTGCTTTTGTTCATAGACAAGTTTATTATTTTCATTTAAAGGTTGAGCAGAGTATCTGATAAGAGGTTAATTAATTGTGGTTCCAAACAAATTGGTTTCAGGTGGTCAAAGATTGCATCTCATTTGCCAGGAAGGACGGACAATGAGATCAAGAACGTTTGGAACACACATCTCAAGAAAAGATTAAAGCCTAAGCCCTCACAATCACAATCCAATCTTGCTGATGTCTCATCACCAATCACTACTACTACTCTGTCCTCTGATTCATCTTCCTCTGAGAAAATGGAGCAAGACTCAGAGAAACAAGTTCCCAATGAACCTATCAATGGCTTCACAGAGGACCCAAAAGAGTCGTCACCAGCTTCATTCTCTTCCTCTGATCATTCATCATCAAAACCAGAAGATGAAGATGGACAGATTTTAGAGTCTTTGCTGAAAGACGACGATCCTCTGCTCCAAATTCCAATGGACACATTGGACTTTGATATCTGGAATGTTCTGGAGAATCCAGAATCCTTCCAGTCAAATGATTTTCAGGTTCCAAGTGTTTCTGATGATGCAGACCAGAACAAGTGGCTTCGTGAATTAGAGAATGAACTTGGATTGGGAACATCAGAGGGATTCAACCTACCAAGGAACGCTGAGGATGCAGACATGGGTTTTCTTGAATCATCATGGTCCTCTTGGACTGAAATTTACAATTTTTAACTCATCAAAAAGTAAATTAATACAAGTCATAAGTAGTTCTTTTAGGGACAAGAAAAGTCCAAGTGATTACAAGTCCAAACAATCACTGTAATTTTTCACTAGGAAGGAAGATTCTCTGAAATACTGAACATGAAATCGGAGAAAAACAGAGAGAAACAGAGACAGAGAAGGAAGCCTTACTTCTGTGAACTCACGTGCGCAGAAGTAAGACTCATCTCTCTATGTTTTCATCTCTCCTATGCTTTTTCTCCACGAAGTATTTCAGAAAATCTGAAATATATTAGTGGGTGTTTTCTTATTTCTCACAAGAGTCATACAAGAAGCAAGAAGATTAATTAGATGTATTATTTGTTAGAACATTATTGAAGTATACAATACAATACAATATAATGATGATGATGATACAGGTTTATTAATTCAAATCTATGGCTATAATATTGAATACTATTTTGTTGGTAAACAAGAACTATCCAACACTTTGCAAGTGGGTGAATGGGTGGGTAGGTAGGTGATGTATTCTTCACTTAATTACTAACATGAGAGTGACATTTTCTCTGTCAAAAATTTCCATCAGATTTGAACAATGAAAACAACCTTGATTAGGTAGTACTACTAATACTACTTGAGTTCTGGCATGTTTAGTACAAGCCAAATTGATAATGATCTCTGACTTGTTGACCCCTTTTATGGAGTAATATACTCAAGTCAATAGGACAAACAAAACAAAAATGTTTTCACATAATTGAAAAATAAAAAAACAGAGATAAAGCTCCTTCACAACTACTTTAGGAGAAGCTTGGAATAATACCAAGGTGCAAGCAAAGGGCATGAACTTTGAAATTTCAACCAATTGTGGTTGGATTGAGTGCAAGTTATTGGAGCGGAGAGGATGAAGGAATTTTATGAGGAAAATATGAGAATTCAATTTTGTTATAAGAAAATATCATACTACCTCTGGTCCTTAATATAAGACTCTGTTTGACTTTTATTTTGATCCTAAATATAAGACCCCTATCCATTTTGTCTCTCATATTTATACATTTTTTTTTTCTAAAGTAACCTTTCTAACAATAATAGTTCTAATCAATACACTTGATTAGTAAGGATATTTTAGGAAAGACAACACCTATTTAAGACAAATAACTAACTCAACTTACTTCCTTAATCTCCTCAAATTAGTCAACTGGCTCTTATAATTAGAACCGGAGGTAGTATAATAATGTTTCAATTGAAAGCATTCTCTTGAAGGGAATGCCTCCATTTGCAAAAAAAAAAAAAAAAAAAAAATTGAGCCACACGAGGGGAGTTCTCACTTCAAAAAAACTTGTACCAAACGCAACATATTAAAGTCTAAAATCCAATCTATTGATATAAGTGGACTAAAGTAGACAGACAAATCAGTCAATTATAACTAATGTGACATTATCTCCCTAAAGTACCCTTATATAAGATTAGATGGTATATTAGTTCATAAATTATATAAGTTAATTTGAAGCAAATGATAAACGTGAAAGATAAAATGAATTAAAGTTTTATATTTAGAACCAAATCTATTGTCTAAATTAGAGGAAATATATGAAAATAATGTATCTTTAGTTTTTTAACTTCATACAAAATTTTATTTTTTTGGCCAACAACACAATTTTATTTTATCTCCTTAATTTTATAAAGTGTCTTTTCAAATGTTTAACCCTAATGTTACTAGCAAAATATGTTAATATTAAAATTTTAAATGTTGATAAAATATCGTCAAATGCTTATATATAAGTTTACTGATGACAAATAACAATGATTAGCATAGAAATTATCATTTGAAACTAATAATATTAGGTTAAATAACTAGAAGTATACTTTATCAAACCTCGTATAAATTAGGAGATCAAATGTACCTTTTTACCCAAAACAAATCATTTTGAGAGAATTCTCTGAATGGACAAGAAATGTTTAAATTTGGTCCAGACAAAATTATGAATAAAAAAAATTTTAAATCTTCAAATCATGGCTTTAGGAGAAACAATATCCTAGTACATCATCAAACTCTTTGAAATTCATGATACCGTTTTGAACTTATTGTTGTGGCCGACATGAGGGAATTTTCACCCATTGTTGTGAATCTCACCAAACTACTACTTACTATTTTATGTGAATCTATGATAGCCACTCTCTTTCAGTCACTTATTACATTATTTTAATGAACCCAGTTCGGTTTATATCCTCATTCTTTTCAATTTTTATTTTTTTTGCCAACATTTTTCAATTTTTGTTTGATATTTAGATCTTGTAGATAAAATATTAACGGTTTAGATTTAATTATTTATTAAGTTTTAACATCTCAATTAAAATATTAACCTTGGGCCATTGTAATTTAATCTTTTCAATGCGGAAAAGAGAGACAAAATGAAAGAGGAAGGACAAAGAAAAAATGCAGGGTTAAAATTGTGTAGTACTCTTCTAGTCCTAAATGTAAGACCCTTATAAGGACCGGAGGAGTACAATCACTAATCTAATAATGTGAACAATAAACTTCCCCATTTGATCTTAAACTACGCAAGAAAAATGTGAACAATTAGAACCAAATTTTATCTTAAAGAAAATCCTAAACTATACGCTAGTAAGATCTTATATTTAAGACCAAATTTAATACTAAATTAGTTCTTATATTAAGAATTCAGGGTAGTATATAAGTTGTATTTTATGTTTACATGTTTCTACTGTTTTTTCATAGGTTCTGTCACAGGTTTTATTGCTTGCTTCCCTCCCTTTTATGCATGACTTATTTTTATTATATTTAAGAAAGCCTTTAATTTTAAGGTATTTGATTTTTAATAATATAGACTAAAACTCGTTAGTTGTTATGTTTTTTTAATTTTTAATTTTTGCATTTATGTTTACAAAATTTAAATAGAAGATACCTAATGCCAAATCGAATGAATTTGGACCTAAATTTAAATATTGAGCTCCATTATTTCTTTGTTTGTTCCAATATCGAATATGATAATGTATTCTCACAACCAATCCAGGTAGTACAACCTGATAAATTATAGCATACATGATTAGGTTTGAATGTATAGTTTGACACGCAAATAATTTGTATAACCACACACACACACACACACACACACACATATATATATATATAGTAATATACACGTTCTAACTTAAAATACATGGAAATGACAAATATAGATAAAGACTAAAAATAATAATAAAGAAGGCTGCCATCCATATATATGACTTTACATATGAATTATTTTGATATAATTTAGAGTATCCTTAAAGTCACTTTAGATTTGAGACTAATTTCTGTTAGGGCAGGAGTGTTAATGTTAAAACCCTCTTAACAAATGTGTTTCTCGATATTCAAATTTGTATTCACCTCTTTACAGAGGCAAGACCACTTACTTTTTCAACTAACAGCTTGTTAGTTACATATAAATTATTAACCTAAAATCTCCTTACAAGTCAATATTATTAAATTTATTATGTCCTTTTTTTTTTGGTTTTGATATTTATTATATGATTTTTCTGCCAACTATGATTGATTTGAATATAAGCTAATAAAGAATATAGTCACCATCTTTATTATTGAGTCCATAGATGAACCTCCCTATATTATTGAAAGTATCATTTTGTTTGTTCTGGATCGTACTACTATCAAATATATTTATATTCAAGTCAATATTCTTCATTTGTCAATTTTTCTTCCAACTGTAGATTCATTTGAATATATGTTAACATATCGCCATCGGCTTAGCCTCCTAAAATTATATAAATACATATACTCTTCCGGTCCTAAATATAAGACATCCTTTGTAGTGTAAATTATATGAAGAATTTATCTATAAATATTGAATACTCCGCCATTATAAGTAAACTTAATTAATTAGCCATTCTTATCTTCTTCTTATCTCATACCGTACAACATCATTTTCTAAAAAAAAAAGGGTTAAGAAAATAAATTGATTGGAGCACCAAGGAAATATAATCACCAAAATTATTTATTATCACTTTAGTTAAATTAGAAGAAAATAAACACATGGTCACATAAGTTGACACATTAATTATGCACATGTTGCACCATGCGCTTGTGCATGTATATGTACAAATGTGCATACAAATGTATATATGTATAAATTGTGTCTAAGTACATGCATGTGCCTGTGTATACAAACATGTGCGTGTGTGTCTCCATATGTGTGTGTGTGTGTATCCGTGTGTTGGGAATTTTCTGGGGGAGACATATCAAATTTATATATTGCTTGTAGTGAGATTAGTTTCCCTCAAGATGGGAAATAGTGCTGGCATGTCCAAGTGCGTGTGAATGTGAAGAGAATCTGGACTTAGTATGGTAATATTCCATGCCATGATTGAATCTACAAATTATAAACCCAACTAAATTTAATATAAATAATTACTTATATTTGGTCAAAATATTTTCCATACATCTAATACATTTATAATATTTTGTTCATATATATATATATATAACCCATATGGTTGTTTAAAATCATTACATTTCACTGAAAGGCTTTCTGATGCATTTTGAAGTTAGCTCACTTCAGCCAACTATGAAACGAACATGATGTTTGGCAAGTAAGAAAGCTTCATTCCTCCATTAATTGCACATTACTCAACTTCACCCAAATAATCATCATCAGTTTATGCTATACTCTCCCATTAAGCCTTTGGTTTAAAGATGTAAAATACTTGTTGAGTTTGGACTTGCAACAGTCTATTTTGTTTTTCTTAAACATGAAATATCAATTGTCTTCTTCCGACTAAAGCCCAAATTAAATCCCCATTTCAGATCATTTTAAGGCCACATTCTCACATATCATCTTCATGCTTTGGTGACCAGCACTTCAAGTGAGATTACAGATCCTATCATGGGACAATGATGCATCATTTTCAACCATATGATTAGAAGCAAACAATTGTGCCACCTATGATTGCCCATTTATGGTGATACAGCTCTTATGATCATTGATAACCCGCCTCAGAAGTGTATCAAGTATCAACCTTTCCAGTTTTCATAATTTATCTAAATATTTAATTGTTGATAGAGAACAATAGCATTGTACGATTCATATAGCCAATCCCACTTAGTAGAATAAAGTTTGTTGCTGTTCCTCTTTTATCAAACCATTATTTGGAAACCAAATTGGATCTCAAATAATTCAAATCACGTTGAATAGGATCACAGGCATACCAAAGATCTTCTAATAAGCTTTAACATAGTTGCATATAAAAGGCTCAAATTCAAGACTATTAAGCTAGCATAACCTCCTACCAATTGAGCTAATCCAATTTAATTTAATTTAATTGTTTGACAAAATTACCCTCCATAGTAAAACTGTAGGAGGATATTTAATTAAAACTATATAATTTAATTTAATGAAGGATATTTTAGTAAAGTACTTAAAATTGGATGATAGTATGAGAGCACAGAAGCTATTAGAAATTATTTTTTGGATGGAGAGCAGAAGTACCTGAATTTTTGGTCTGCCCCAACTAAGCTAATTTCAATCTTTCTGCCTGAGATTTGTCCTTCAAACCTACATGGCACAAGTAATAGATAAACAGTGTGATACCTCATTTGTCACGGGTTTTCTACAATTACAGAAGTAAATGTATAAAATACCTTCAGAAAGAAATTTAAAAATAAAAAGAGCGCAAAAAATCTATACACACACCCAATCCATCTACATCACTTTCCCTCCCAATGCTTTCAGGCTAACAAAAGGAAAAAAAAATCCAATACTTATTGCATAAGTATAGAGGCTTTAATTTTGTTGAAATACGGCAAGGCTAACAGCAAATTTAAAAACAGAACAAGGAGGAATGTTAACAAGAAGGAACGTTGAACAGTCAAAACTCCCCTCCAAAAGTAAATGATTAACTGTTTTTGAAAATTTTGAACGGTTTTTGAACTTTAAGGATTGCAGTAACAGGAGATTATTTTTCGCAGGGTTTAGTTTAATACTATTCATAAGCCATGAATCCTCAAACTTTGAGCAATGAATATCAACACCATGCAGTTATCTTCCTAAAACTTAAGGAGCATCATTCTGGAGTCTTCATGAGAATGGACCCGATGTGTCAAAAAAGCTTGCTACCTTAATCTACCAGTCAGAAGTAAGAAAATGCATTAAAATCAAGATGGCCACAGTAGCAATAAAAGTTACATGGTCGTGTAGGATGGTACATATTTACATTACCTGAAATAATTGCGGTCCTTTGTCATCAAACCCAGCTACCAGCAGGGATGCACCAAAAGGCCTAACACCACTGTCAAGACAAAACATGCAAACTAGAATTTAAAATATAATACTGGCAGAGGGCAAGTCATGGAAAAAGGGGTACTTCCGCATATAGAAAAATTAGACATAATCTGTCTTAGGTCTGCACTAATAAAGGTCAAAAGCTATGAATTATAACAAGTTCATCTACTATACAGATCAACCGAGTTGGAGCTAAATCAAAGCTCATGCTTCAAATACTAATTATAATATTGAAGCAAATAAAATCAACCCATCCATATGGCCGGAGTGCAAATGAAATATAGTTTACAAAATTAAAAATCAATTACCCAGACTGAGTAAATTCCTGCATGACAGCAGCAATTACCCTCACCTCTTGAGTTACAGGGATTGGTTCCTGCTAATTCCATGAAATGCATCAGATAAAAACTTAAGAAAGGGACCATTGGAGAATACACTAAAAGCAAACAGAAGATACACGAACAAGGAAATACATGAAGTGGTAAAGATAACCATATATGCTTGATTACAATCTTTTTTCCTAATATATGCAAAACTATAAACTAGAATGCCTGCATTTCCAAGAGAACGTTTTCTTTACAAATGTTATGAGATAGTGCTTGGGGCTTTACTTGTCCCATAAGTAGTCACAGAAATACAGAATTGTTTCATGGAGTGTCCCTGTCTGATAGTACAGATATCAAACAGCTTTGAATAATGCTTTGAACTGTCTAGCTGTTTTTCTGAATAATCATTCTTCAAAACTCCCCCCGGGGGCGGCTGGCAGGATAGATAATGCTCCTTTGTCAATCCACATTTATTTTTAGAGTTTATTCCTTAAAAAGTGACAACTGTAAGTAGAAAGAAAGCAAAATGATGCAATAAATGGTACTAATCTCCTTTATACTTCATAACAAAACTGTTGTCTTGTTTTCAATTCATCACCTTATTTTTCAACTTACAACCTAAAACTACAAATGCTGTCAAATGGCACATGTATCTTGTAGCATAAAACTGTCTTCTATGCAGTAAATACAAGCAACCCTCTTCCCACTACTTCATGATTTGGATAGAACAGTCCTTTACATTACATGCCTAAGGAAAATTTGAAAGTGGGACATAGGCACAAGGCATATTTAGCCAATGGTAACACTGGCATTGAAATATATTCTGGTCAACCATCTAATCTTGAAAATTTCTTAACTCCTATCCTTCTATATATATCTGAAGTTTCTTAACTTTCTAACATGGACGGCTAACTTCAGTTGAGCAGTAACCTTGGCCCCGACCTCACCATCTCACTTGCATAAGAGTTGAGCAACCTTTAACTTTTACTCAAACTTGTTACAATCAATCAAATGCCATATTGTAGAGTGTAAGACCGTTAGTGAGGTGAATACAAAGCCAATATCTGGGTTTAATATCTGAATTTTCTGGACCTACATCCAAATACAAAAGACCCAGAATGTGGGCTTTGTTTGCAATAGATGATGAGGCAGGAATAAAAAAACTACGATATTTTTAGGCAGGAAAATTACAGGACATGAACAAAAAAAGCTTACAAGTTACACTGCACAAAAGATAGATTTTTAATAGGCCGTACTTCCACATGTCCCTAAACAAAGTAGTATTAAGTACTAACATCATTCCACTAAGCATAAACTCGGAGCAAAAAAATAAAACCACATGGATAGAAGTCGTACTATCACTCTATCAGACACTAGTCGGAGTGTACAGATCACAGAAAAATAGGTTCAGTTCAGTACAAAGGCATTACATCCTAGACCATAGAAAATGGTGATTGTTCCTGGGTCTTTGACCCTGTCTATCACCACCAAAAAAAATGGTGACTGCCCAATCTCTGATGCTTCGATGATGCCCACATAAATCTATATTTTATATAACTAGAAGAGGCGGACAAATTACAAGCAAGGCTGATAATATGAGGCAACACTATCCTGTTCGTTCATAAAGGTGACACAGAATTTCTCATAAAGCCCTGAACAACGTGCCATTTTATAGCTATAGGTCAAAATGGGGCAAGGCTGAATCATTCAATGAAGTTAGGCTACAATAAAAATGGAGAAACAAGATAGCAGATCCGAAGAGCATACGACCTTGGATAGAACAGATCATAAATTTATGAAATTTTCACACGTAAAGAAGGATCCAACCACATGAAAACTCTCTGATGCTTCATCAACCAACATTGAAGGTAGTTTTTTCTCTGTTGCAATGACAACTCCGTTAGCAGCTGCAAGAATCAAAAGGGACTTGTAAATAACGAAAGCTAAAAGAAACGTTATATATCCAAATCATTTAAAAGATAATATGATCTGTAAGGAGAAAAAAAAAAGGGGAGGAGAATCAAACGCAGAAGCAGATGATGATGCAAAAATATATGGCTCTACCTTCTAGATAAATTCTCAATGTTTTGATGAATGAGAAGAAATACAAGTGCTTTTCTAATGGCAGCATCTTAGTTTATTTTCTTATTTGATGGCTTTTTGGGAAATAAGAAAAACTTTGCAGTGCCAGAGAAAAAGTAAAACAATATAATATAAAATATACAGAAAACTCGCCACTTTAACTGATTGAACGACGAAATGCCATTATATATCATGTTTTTCCCCAAACCAAGACATATGTAACTGTATCTTCATTTGACACACACTCCTCCCCTGTCTACATAGCCGAAATGTAATGTTTCTGCAAAGCTCGACCTATTTCAGTATTTCTCACTAGCATCCATCATACCAAATGACATCTGTTATTTCAAGAATAACAATTTTCTGAAATCAAACAGCTAGAATCCATCGTACCAAATAACATTTATTCAACTCCCCCCCCCCCCCAAAAAAAAAAAAAGAGAATACTCTTTCGAGATAAAAAAGAAGCAGCGATGTCAACCAAAATACTTGAGACAGCAGAAATATGGACCGTTAAAGAGTGTCACCTTTAATCCCAAGAGAGGTTTGTCCAGACCCAACAGCGGTAAGAGCATGCTCAATCTGAACAAGTTTTCCAGAAGTACTGTTGAACAATGTAAGATGCAAAAGTCTACCGGTAGCCACACCTAAAAGTGATAAGTGAGAACGAGCATTGACTATCCCCCATGATATTGTATCAGAACCTGCAATGAAAAACGACTATAACAATCATGAAATGCGTAAAACAAGTACCATATGCACTATCTTGAGAATTGAATTCAGATTGTACAGAATTTTCGAAGTTAAAAACACCTTGAATCTTCTCTCTCTTTTCCCCCTTTAAAAGATAATACACGACTTCAACTCTGAAAGATGACGACGTAACACACCACTTGGATCAATGGACGATTCTTCTGATGCCTACAATGTCTACCACTGGAAAATGCACCGATAAATCAAGGTTGAAAAGAAGTGGAAGTCCTTGTCAGCTTAGCCCCTGGTTATTACTGCGTCTATAGCTATACATCGCCCAAAAAAACAGAACTCTTCCCATTGGCGCAATGAAGACGTTATTGCGATTCAGCCATTACACTACTGAAAAGAGCGCAAACTTCAGTCTCAACGTTACCTGCGAACGATCTTGCCACTTCATGCAACAAAACGAAGTTGGGGGAGGCGTTCGTCGGTTGCAAGAAAACCCAAAAACGGGCCGTGGGCCTTTTACTCGTTCATTTCCAATCCCCCAAGGCCCATAAATCAGCGCCTCGTGGAGAATTGAATGACATCCCGTCATCTCGTCATCCGTTTCGTCGTCATCGTTTCCCAACAGATAAGGAGCAGAGGCTGAGGCAGACTGCAGAGTAGGAGTAAAATACTCCCCGGTCACGGATTGATTTCTTAAGGTTTTCTTGATTTTTTTTTTTTTTTTGACGATACGGATGCCAGTATAACCATTGATGTTTCTGACTGAGCAAAGAGGAAAACTAACCTGAAAATCTGTGCCTTAAGAACAATATTAAGGCTTGGCTCGAACCCTTTGTCATTATTTCTGAGGGGGCAAAAAAAAACTGACTTTAGTTTCATTTCAGAAATTTTCTGATTATTCCATGAAATCACTTCCCTACTTCGCTATTCGAATTCATTTAGACTGGCTTCTGTTATGGTGAAAGGCTGGCAGTTTTTGAATTTTTGATAGTGCAGCTATAGAAAGTAGTTCATATTCAGTTTTCTTTGTTGGATTGTGCGGATATTCACGCTGATTATGAAATAATGAGGCATAAATGTTCCTCCAATTCTTTCTCTTGAAATGAAGTTAAGCTTAAGCAGTTTATATCGATGTCCTAACTTCCCCACAATCCTTAAATCTTCTGCTTTTAGTAGTCCTTGTCGATCCTTATGTTTTTCATCGCTATCATCTCCACAGACATCTCTAAAACCCCAAATTCCGCTCTTTCTGAGGCCACCCAAATACTCAACCACACTGCATGACCTCAAAAAGTGGCATGACTGGGCCAAAAATCTTGCTTCTTCAATAGGGTCAACCTTTGAGCAGTCTGATAATGGGCCAGACTCAAGTCTTTTGTGTAGGGAGCTCAAATGGCTCTTGGAGGATGCTGTTGAAGACCACACTCTCTTTCCCCAAATGGGTGTTCAAAATGATAGGAGAGTAACACTGAGGGCACAGGTAGATGAGCTTTACAATCTATGGAAGCAGAGAATCCATGAGAGGAGACCTTTTCAGTATATAGTCGGATGTGAGCATTGGAGGGATTTGGTGTTGAGCGTCCAAGAGGGTGTCTTGATTCCTAGACCCGAAACAGAACATATTATCGATTTGGTGTCCGATGTGGTCTCAAAAGATGACGAATTGAAGGGAGGTGTTTGGGCAGATTTGGGGACAGGAAGTGGTGCCCTTGCCATTGGAATTAGTAGGATTTTGGGAGCTGAGGGGAGGGTTATTGCCACAGATTTAAACCCAGTAGCTGTTGCTGTAGCAGCTTACAATGTGAAGAGGTATGGTTTAAAGGTGAGTAATTTAAACTTTCAATGGAAAGAAAAGCAGTAGCCTTCGGGAAGAGTATTGGCATTCGCATTATACATGTTTTCTTGTGTCACTTTTTATGTGTTTAGTCATTTATGTGGTCCATCTTGTTGGCTACTTCAGGAAATTATTGAAATAAGGGAGGGATCATGGTTTGAACTAGTGAAAGATGTGGAAGGAAAGCTTTCGGGTCTTGTAAGTAACCCACCATATATTCCAAGTAAAGATATCCCTGGTTTGCAAGCTGAAGTTGGAAGACATGAACCAAGAGTTGCATTAGATGGCGGTGTTGACGGCATGGATGCGCTTCTCCATCTCTGTGATGGGGCCGCTTTATTCTTGAAGCCTGGTGGATTTTTTGCCTTTGAGGTATGGAGTTCTTATTTTCTGTTAGTTTAAAGTTATCTTTGTATTTTAAGAGTCCTGTTGTCCAAATTTATGCTTCTATTTTTGAATTGTGCTTCATGCAATTTTAGATGATAATTTGACCGTCAACAGGATGAAAATCTTCAGTCTGAGTATTCAGCCATGCTCATGTGGTCAATGTTGTGAGACAATTTTTAAACAAAGCGCACTGACCTCTCATGAGATTTTCAGAAACTGTGCACATTTATCAGCTAAATGAATGCATCAATTCACTAGGAATCTCATAAACTCATAAAAGTTAAACCACTTCACCACCACATCATGCGCAGGATATCATTACCCTTAGTATTATGCCAGTCATAGCTATTCTATGGCGATGAGTTTCAGTCAGCCAAAATCTGATGCAAAACTGACAAAGACTTGTTAAGTGTGTACATGTACATTTAATTAACGATCAAAAGAGAAGTTGCTTGTTTGCTGGTCTATTTTTCTTGTGTCTTTCTTTTGTGAGTAGCAGCAGTCTTAATTTCTGTGATTTGCTGTTTCTTTTCTACACCTTGTCATTGTTAGTATCAAGTTTCAGTTAGATGAGAGCTAAATTAAAAAAGACTGAACTATTAGATGAGAGATCTCCACCACTTAACTACTATCTTAAGTTTCAGAAAGCCCTGAATGGGTAGCAAGATGTGTTTATTTAGCAGAAGACCGAAGCTCATGGTTATTAAGTTTCTTCATGTGTTGCTTCTAACTGTCTCTTTCATAACTGATATTTACAGACAAATGGCGAGCAACAGTGCAGGGCTCTTGTTGATTACATGGAAAATTATAAAAGCACAAGCTTATGCAACTTTGAAATAGTTCCTGATTTTGCTGGTATTCAGAGATTTGTGACTGGATTTCGTCGACAAGCAATCTGAGTTGAAGATATATGTTAGAGTGTTTTTGGTTTTGGCGGTTTGCATTATAAAACAAAGGGTTAAGACCACTTTTAGTTTTAGTGTGTATTTGGTTTTGGCAGTTTGCATTATAAAGCAAAGAGTTAATACCACTTTTAGTTTTTATGATTTGATTGAATTTTGATTTTGACTGTGTAGTTTCAAATTATTAGTTTTGATTGTTGTAATTTCATAATTTTTTTTTGGGTCTAAGTTTAATGAATGGTTTTTATCCTTTTAACAAGTTTTGATTTTAAAGCCTATATTTAAATTCGGACCAAGGGGGTGTTTGGATAAAGTAAAACTATAGTTTGTAGAATAGTTTCTGGAGAATAGATTTTGGAAAGAATAGATTTTGAAAGAATAACTTTTCTGAAAAAGTGATTCTGATAAAATGAAAGTGTTTGGATAATTATTGTCAGAAGTGTTTTTTGATATATAGAAATTACTAAAAAAGATATAAGTTTAAATGATAATTACATGTAAGATATATTTCATAATATATATTTATTTGAAGTAATAAATTTGCTAATAATATATATTTTGGCAACATAATAAATAAGACATAAATAATATAAATAATAAAAAGTTAATGCATATATATATTAATAATATAATTAAATACGTTTTTAGGAAAATGATTTATTTTGCCAAAAAAATATTATTATTTCTTAAAGATGATGCCTTGTAACAGAGAGTGAAAGAATAATAATTGACGCCTTGTACTATCAATAATTTAAAGGCAAAAGTTGCTCAGGATGATTTTTTTCCAAACCAAGGTTTTGGAGGCCAAAACCATGATTTCCCCCAAAACCATGGTTTCAAATTTTTTTGGGGTGCTTGGCTAATTTCTCCCCAAACACCCCCCAAATCCTTATGAAACTATAGGAAGCAAAATTAAAATTAGACTAAATTTTAAGGATTAATAATCATATTAATTCTAAAACAAAACATTTGCTGAGGATTTTTTTTTTTTGAAGTGAGACCCAAAAAAAAAAAAGTAAACAGAGAGATGTGCAAACTTGTTTCACAGGGTTGATACAAAATCTTCTTCTCAACATGATGAGATGTATCCTCTACTTGTCAACATTATGAGCTCTAATGGATATAAACTTAACTATAGAATAAAATCACTCGGACTTTCAATGAAATGAGGAGTGTGTTATTAAAATTTCTTTTGTATCGAAAAAATTCTGCTGAAAATGGGACGGAGGCATCAGGCATGTGCAGTTCCAGCAAACCTTAAGAGAATTTTGTGTAATTCAGACAACTAAAAATTAAAATCAATATATATAGAACTAGATTTCCCCTGTCCATGCGGATGTGGAAAATTAAAAATAAAAAGTGTACGTGGAGCAAAAACATAATGAACTTAAAGTGATTATGATCAATTTACAGTAATTATGTAGTTAAGATGGTACTACCTCCGATCCTAATTATAAGAGCCAGTTGACTAATTTGAGGAGATTAAAAAAGTAAGTTGAGTTAGTTATTTGTCCTAAATAGATGTTGTCTTTTCTAAAATATACTTACTAATCAAGTGTATTAACTAGAACTATCATTGTTAGAAGGGTTACTTTGGAAAAAAAAGTACAAATAGAAGAGACAAAGTGGATTGGGATCTTATATTTAGGATCAAAATAAAAATCAAACAATATCTTATATTAAGGACTGGAGGTAGTATAAATATTGATTTTCAAGAAACAAATCTTCTATCTTCTATTACTTTAGTATAGAATAAGGGAGTGTTTGGAAAATTGCAAAAGTACTTCTCAAAAGTATTTTTCTGCAAATCGAGATAAATTCATTCATAAATTTATTTCGTATACTGAAAAATTACTTTTAAAATTATGATTTCATTTCTATTCAAACAGCCTCTAAGAAGTATTTTATTATTGTAAGAAGTGCAAAGAAGAATAAGACGTATTTTATATTTTCATTATATCTGAAAAAATATATCCTCTGAAAGTTCAAATAAATCCTTTTCGAAATTAATAAAATGTTTGGTCTTGTAACTGATTGTAGTCTTGACACGTGGAGGCTTGCTCTCATATCACTGTGGGAGTCTCCACCTTGTTCGCTAACTACTGGACTAGTTTTGTGCTTTAACTGCGGAAAATGGTAGCCTGCCTCAAGACCGCAGACCTCACAGTCACATTTGATTTGGTCGCTGATTTCATCGTCTAATTCAGTCGTCGTCGTTCCTTACTCACAAGCCTCAAACTTTAACCCTTTTGCTTCAATGTAACTCTCCTGTGCTTAATTAAACTTGACCTGGATTTTCCTTTCCTTTTCTTGTTCTGTATATACTCTATTTCTCTGCACGTCTGCTCTTGTGCTTCTTTGGGTTGTTCCATTCTGCGGCCCTCTCATCTTCTGGGCCTGCATATCTGGATTGTATATTCTGCTATTAACTTTTTCGATTTTTGAACTGTCATTTGGGCGTGGGAAGTGGTGTTCTTGAGTTTCTTGTCTTCTGGATTTCTTTTATCTCCCGCGACATATATCTTCTAGATTATTTTATCAATCGACTGGTAATTATATACTTGCATGACATACCCTTATGGTTTTTCATTGCCTGATACGAACATTTCAAATTTTTCTCTGAAGTGAGATCAGCAACTCATTACATGCGTTTTACAACCCCCCCCCTTTGGTTAAAGGCATTTAACATGACTCATTTGTTTCTTTTAGCATTGTCTTATTTAACTGGAGGGTATTGCTGTTCCGTGGTATGGGTGCTATTGGGGCTAAATCTGTCCTTTATAATTTGCCTTCTCCCTGCAGAAGAGGCCATCTTTGTACATGCAGTACTAAAAAATTAACTGAAGTTATTGATTGGGCTCCTTGTGTTCTATGGCTTCTTCAATGCAACCTGTTTCTTCGGATGAGCCGGTCGTGACTGTGGATTGGCTTTATGCTAACCTTACGGACCCTGACTTGAAGGTACTTGCATTTATTGATAACCTATTGGAGCCCTTAATATTAATAATATACTTTTTTCTTGTTGTGGTGGTTTTTGCTGCTTCTGCCTATTTTTATTTCTCGGATTTGTGTTTATAGCAAACTCTATATCTGCTGATATTCAAAAGTGTTGAATTTGTGGTTGGCAGAACAGAACTTAGGGGCTGGAGGAAAATGCATTCCGACCCTCTTTACCTTTCCTTTCCTTAGAATACATTGAAAGTGGAGGTTAACTACTAGAAAAACCCTAATTGAACCAGTTACAAAGCAATCTGTAGATAAATAAGTGATTATAGTGCTATAAAAGTATACGAGAATACTAAAATGGTCCTTGTGTCTTATTAAGTAATGACCCCTTCACAATACTTCTTTGAATTATTAATACTGTATTAATAATAGGAATGGCACTAGTTCATGTGGTCTTTATCCATGTGAGAGCTGATGCTTGTTTATCCTGCTTAGGTGCTGGATGCATCCTGGTACTTGCCAGATGAACAGAGGAACCCCATTCAAGAATATCAGGTCTGAAATTCTCAACAGATGTATATAATGTAAATTGGATATACTTTCTTGTTACTGTTTACAATTGGTTCGTCTTACTGCCATTTACTATTTTTATTCTGCAAAACTAATTGATACAGGCTGCACACATTCCTGGAGCCCTTTTCTTTGACATAGACAGAATAGCAGATCAAACTACAGATGTGAGTTAGTCTTTCTTTTCTTATGAAGTATAAATTTAGTATTACAAAACAGGAAAAAAGAACATTTGTCCCCATGCTGTTAGAATGTAACGAAGTAAACCATAGAAAGGAACCGGAAACTAAAAGTGAATAACAACTTGTTTGGGTAAAACACCTTGAATATGTGGTATTGCAAATTAATACCTTGCAATTTAAGGAGAGCTTTAAAACCAAATATCAGCTGATGTATCTTCTATCTTTTGATTGGTCATTGTTTATGGTTCGGACTTTTGAAACTCTTTATTTGCTTTTTACAGCCTCTGTATTTCGTTATTATTGTCATGATTTAGTTGTTTCAATAATAATTTATTTGTAATATTAGACTCAGTTCGTTTCACTGGAAAATACTGCCATCTTACATATATACCATTGAGAAACTATAACTAAAGATTTTCTGCATTGAAACTTGAGTTATGTGTATGATAATACTTCAACAGGTCAAAGGGGATGTTTTCGTTATTAACCTCTGCTTAAGTTAAGCTTTTTTAAAGTTTGTCTTTTCTGTAACAGAGGGTTGTGTAATTATTGAAATTCATGGTAGAAAGTGGTTTCATGTTTACAGAAGTTAGGCTTTTTTTTTTCCCCCCCTCCTGTCATCTAATTCAATCTTTGTCCACCTTATAGCTGATATAAGAATTTTTACTTGTATTAGTTACCGCATATGTTGCCATCAGAAGAAGCTTTTGCTGCTGCTGTGTCTGCTTTAAACATAGCAAACAAAGACAGAGTGGTTGTTTATGATGGCAAAGGAATATTTAGTGCTGCTCGTGTTTGGTGGTATGCCATGATGTTTTGAAGATGTCCATTTTCTAGTAATTGGACTGGAATGTGGAATAAGGATTTTCTATGTAGCTTTGCCTATAAACTTATAATTAATATCACTTTCCTCTGTTGATGATTAAAAGGATGTTCCGAGTGTTTGGGCATGACAAAGTTTGGGTATTAGATGGTGGACTGCCAAAATGGCGTGCATCCGGATATGACATCAAGACTAGTGCTTCTAGTAATGCTATATTAAAATCCAGTGCCGCTACCGAGGCAGTAGAGAAAGTGTATCAGGGACAGCCAGTAAGTTCCAATTTATTCAACCTAGTTTGATAAGCTCTTTTTTTCTTTTCCATACTTCAGGTGCAAACCACCTTGGAGGCTTGCACTTGTTGAATTTTTTTTGGTTTATGCAAAATTATTGTTGAACTACATGTAGTTTCTTGGAGTTATAAATCTGCATGTCTAACTCAGAGGTTCAAACTTATCTGACCCAGAACTGTTTCTTCGGACTAAGGGCTTATTTAAATATCCAAATTCAATGCTAAACTGAACTTTCTGAATTAATTGTTGTTCTGAACTCATGAATTGTCAAACTGTGTCACGATGAAAAATTTATTGACAAATCCTGAATATTGAACGCTGAATGCAGTCAGCATCCATAGGTTTGATGTGGAAATTTATGCCCTTTATAATTTCAGAACAAAATTTTGATGTATTTCTCTTCTAACTTATGTTTCTCGTCAGGTTGGCCCAATCTCATTTCAGACTAAATTTCAGCCACATCTTGTTTGGTCCCTGGAACAGGTGGGTTGCGTTCTTTAAGTGATGCTCTGCTTAAAATTTAAATGCTCATAATGCTACTGAATGCTGAAGAATTTTCAAGGAAAGGTGTATAGGGAAGGGTTCCATTCTTCATGTGGAGTGTTGATGCTGTTACATGCCTTCAAGCATTAATGCAGTGTATAATGATCGGTGGTTATATAAACATCAACAAGTTGCTCATAGTGGCGAACAAATTTAATATAATGAAGAGTGCTTTTGCAGTATTTGGAAATTGTTATTTGGTATTCTGAGTTCAACTGTTAAATAGAGGACTTCTTCCCTGCTTTTTGCTACTCGGCACCATCTAAGAGTCTAAGAAGCATTATTATTAAATATTGATGTGTTGCTACATCCTTGTGGTTGGGTCTAACACATGAAGATCCCTAGATGCTTAACAATCGGACCAAAGAAAAATCTATGACAACGTTATCTGTCACTGCTGCTGCATGATGCATTAGAGAAATCATACATGAGAGTTCAGTTGTTGCATATGACTAGGGTCTCTATATGCTTATTGTGAAAATCATTATTGGTCTTTGTGCAATAATGTAGTCTCTTGAAATATCTGCCCTATTAATACCAAGAGGTACCTTATGTAACTTGTATACTATTGGTATTTTGCATGCCAAATATTTCCTTACTTATTGTTTTCCATCTCTTTTTAGGTAAAGAGAAACATTGAGGAAAAAAGCTACCAGCACATAGATGCACGATCAAAACCTAGGTATTTTACATTCCCTTTGGGTTACTTGAACATCTGAACATGGTGTACCTGTATATGGTGATCAGGGCCCTCCTGTTTTGCTTGAATTGTTTGACGTATTAGCAATTGGTTATGTGATGATAGGTTAGGTTATTTAGAAAAGGGGCCAACCCGGCCAAGCTTTCTCTCTTGCAAGCTTATGGTGTATGTCTTAAGTCTGATTTCACTCTTATTTATTAGGATTAGACTGGACACAGTTAAATGATCAAAAGCTAGGCCTGACGCAGTTTGTATTGAATTGTAGATGGCTGCTTAGTTTGAATTTTGTTTTTCTCTTGGATGGTGTTGTCTTGATCAATATCCTCCATTTCATCAGTGCCCAGTCACTGCTCAAGACACTATTTTTTATGTGGCTTTACCTTTCCCTAGATTTTAGCTAACTGGTTTCTTTTTGCATTTACTTCTCAAATCTATACTTCATATCTGAACAAATCTACTATTCCTTCACTCTTGGTTTGAAACCTGCTTAGGGGTGTCCAAAGAGATTGGAACACCCGAAATTGATTTTCGTTATTTGGTCCTTTCTCTTTGGGAAATATTTGTGGTGATGACCCTCATATTTATTGCGGAGACTTTATCCTCTGGCAGGTTTGATGGAGTAGCACCAGAACCGCGAAAGGGTATCCAAAGTGGTCATATACCTGGAAGCAAGTGTGTTCCTTTTGTCCAGGTACAGCATTTTGTCATGTCCATCTTTGTCTTGATTACCCAAAAGAGAATACTAGACAATATTACTGTCTCTTGCTATCTGCTTCCAGTTGTATGCGGTGTCAAAATGCCTCTCTTTCAGCCTCCTAAATTCAATGTGAGAGATGAAGAGATGGCAATTTGAACATCCTAGTCAGCATCACATTTTGAGATCTAAAAGATAAGTTTTGGCTTGAATATGACCCTCTGAAGTGGATGAAACTTGAGGGAATATTCACGCTTGGGATTATTAAAGTTTGTTTTATATGTTACGTTGGCTTATGCCTGAGGGACCTGAAACTTCTTCCTGCTTCCTTGGATCATTGGCATGCTTTTTTCTAACTGACAACTATGCGCATTTAATGTATGCTTGTGTCCATGCTGTTTGTTGTCTACATTCAGCTGTTGGATGCTCAACAGACACTGTTGCCAGCAGATGAAATTAAGAAGCGTTTTGATCAAGAAGGTTTGAAAATCCTTATGACATGTGTATCCCTGCTGATATATTTTCGTATTAATACTAGTTAACTTGCATCCCTACTGAAATACAGGTATCTCTTTGGATGACCCCATCATGACTTCTTGTGGCACTGGTGTAACTGCTTGCGTTCTTGTATTGGTACCTCTCTCTCTCAATTCGATAGTGATGTGAATTATGAAATTGTTTGCTTTGGGAAATTTTTGTTTTTGTTTTTGTTTTTGGGGGTGGGAGTTAGAACATGACGGCTTCTTTTTCTGAAGGTAGTAGTTTTTGTAGTCTGGACACTAATGTTTATGTTCTTAAATTTTACTGGTTTGAGAATCTTCTAGGAGAAATCAAATACTACTTCCGGTCTTTAATATAAGAGCTTATTTGACTTTTATTTTGGTCCTAAATGTAAGACTCTAATCGATTTTGTTTCTCATATTTATCCATTATTTTCCAAAGTTGTCGTTTTAATAATGCTAGTTCTAGTTAATATACTTAATTAGCGAGGATATTTTAGGAAAGACAATACCTATTTATTACAAGTAACTAACTTAACTAGTTTTTTTATCTCCTTAAATTAGTCAACTAGCTCTTATATTAAGGACCGGAAGTAGTAATTTACTGTTTACTATCGTTTTTATGTCAAAAAACGAATTCCTTATGATTGATCATGTCAACAAAATATCAAGTCTGTATAGTTATTTTCCTTTGCTTTCTTCCCTTTACTGTTTCAATTCCAACTACCAGACATGCTCAGGCCCAGGCCTCGTTTAATTTAAGCAAGGGGATTGGATTTACTTTCTTTCAATATATTGCAGTATCTGTTATATTCTTCTGAACAAGAATTAATAGCCCCCCATCCCCTTTCTTTTCTCCCCCAACACACACACGCACAACTTTTTTAAATAGTAAGGACACCTTAGGATCTGTTTGGATACCAAATTTAATCAACTATGAGGGTTGAAATCATGGTTTTCTTGAAAAATATCCAAACACTCTTTTATACATGTCAAAATCAATTATGAATCCAAAATCAAACATCTCTATACATATTGATTTCAATTACAAATCCAAAATCATGGTTATCTCATCAGTTACGGAACACATGCCAAAATCAATCATGAAGTTGAAAGGCTGATAAAAGTAGCTTATGAAAATATCATGGTTTCGGGGTCATAATTGATTTTGACATGGACACAGGTGTTTGGTTTTGAGTTCATAAATGATTTTGCCATGTAAGAGGGTGTTTGGATATTTTTCTGAGAAAGCCATGGTTTTGACTCTTATAATCTCATATTCACAAAATTGCATTTTTCCATTTCACTCTTTGATTGCGATCTGTGTATATCTTCCATTATTTTCAGGGCCTCCACCGTATTGGAAAGCATGACATTGCAGTCTATGATGGGTCTTGGACTGAATGGGCTCTACAATCTGATACGGCTAAAGAAACCTCATGAATGCCACGTTCTTAGATTCTCATTGAGCGTTCGGGAGATTTGCCCACCACAGATTTGTGTCTTTGTATCCTTGTATGTTACAAGGAAGGTTTCAGGTCCAGGACATCAAAGCGTCAGTGTTTTTTCTCGTGTCAAATGATTTATCTGGTCAAATCCAATATGTCAGAAGAAGATTGATGAAGAAGAAAAAGTTTGTTCCTTTCTAGAATTAACTGAACCTGAGGCCAACGAGAAAAGGGCCATTTCTACGGAATACATGAGAATAAAAGGAAAATTAGATGAACAACAACAACAACAAGAAACACATGACAGATGAGGCAGGAAGAGCAAGATGCATGGTCATTGTTCTTTAATCTGTGTCTGTCGAATGAACTGGTCCAGATCTTTAAGGATGGAAGGTGTTGATTGAATGTCTTTATGATTTGTCAAGGTGGTGACAAAGTCTCTAGGAACAAAGCATTTTTCTTCCATGTACATCTTTTCTTCTATAACTGGAGAAGTAACCAGCTTTTGCATTTCTTCATTCGCAGTCAGTGCCTTGTCTTCCTGCAAAATCATGCCAATATTCATTAAGGATTCCAAAAAATAACAGCATTCCACTATTTAATATTCATAAAATAATAATGGTGGTTAAAGATAAAATATAATCTTAGATATAAAAAATAAATCAATCAATATTAATATCTAATTTTAAAACCTATACCAAGTTGAGCATATCTGATTATTACAACCACAGCAACAAGGCTGAGTTTTGCTTTCTACAAGAAAAAAAAAGAAAAGTTATCTTCTAATCTGCTCTGAATATTCCCAACTGAAGAAATACAGTTGGAGAGTTTTATGCATCATGCATAACGGTTGCATAGCTTCTTCTTGTTTTTTTTTGGTCCTTCTTTTTGTTAAAAAAAAAAAAAGTTACACTCTTGCTCCTAAAGTTTCGGATTAACCTAACCTAATAATATTGGTCTTGTTCTCACAACCTATTATTAACTGTTTCCTCGAATCACTCCCATTTATAATCGTGATAGCTTCTATTGGCAGGCAACTAAAACATATTATTCCCCAAGAAAAGGGGAAAAAAAAAAATAGAATCATAAAACATTCCGTAAGACCGAACAACCTTAAAGCAGGATTCTTACAATAAACTACTCAAACAAACAACGACTTAACGTCTTATAATAAACAAAACAGTATCAAAACATGGGGAAAAATAGTCACAACAGTAGAAATATATCATCTATAACGAATTAAATTCAATCAACAAATGATCATTATGCTTAATCACACTGATTAAAGTTGTCTAAAGTAGCAATATATGATCATGAACTAATCATATGATTACCTGAAGTGTGTTGATGAGTTGAAGCATGCCAACTTGAGCTTTCAAGTAATTGACATACTTAGCAGCAGCATGAAGCATATCGGCTGTATTCATCTTGGAACCACCAGGAACCAGCTTTCCTAGCTCTTGTGTCTTCTCCGTTATCTTCCTCCTCCTCTCCCTCGCCGCCTTGCTCTGTGCCGATACCGTCGTTGTCGCCGTCTCATTCTTCTTCCTCCCTCCTTCTTCCGCCACCGCCACAACATTCTCTGCATTTCCCAGTGCTGCAACTTCATCGTAATAAAACTCTGGAACATTCGGCACAACAATATCATTATTCCCATCCAAGAAACTACTACTCGTTGGTGCAATCAAGTCCATGGTCAAGCTCTGATCGTACGACAAGTACTTCTGCCGTTTTGGACATGGAAGCAGGCTGTCATAGTGATTCTCATACATGAAGGGGTCATAGGGAACAAGCTCATGACGGTAAAGAAAGTTACTATATGGATCAAGATAGGGCGTGTTTGGATCGAGTGAGTTATTATAATAAGGAAGGAGGAGGTGGTGGTTATTATAGTTATAATAATAATCTGGTGCAACTAGTACTTCTTCTTCTGGTGCTGCTTCATGGAAGAAACTCGCTTCTAGGTTCAGATCAGCTTGAAGACTAATATCCCAGTTGAAGTAGGAGGTCAGAGCCATCGTAATAACTGCTCTAAACGGTACCTGCAAAGCAAAAACAGCATGGACAGATAGTTTTAGCAGAAACCTATGAATTAATGAATCGCCATCTACTTCAAAATGTTGTATCTGATGCATCCAAAAACACTATGATCATTACTTCAGTTAGACACATAACACCAAACTAAATATCATCACACTGAAAAGATAGAACCATGAGCAGATGCTAAAGGAAGTGAATGAAGCTTAAAGAAGTAGTGTACGTAAGTGTAACAGTGATACTAACCGAGGAAATGTACAGAAGAATCTTAGGTAAAGATATATACTAGGAAATCTTGGAGAGAGAGAGAGAGAGATACTGGCGTAGAAGAAGAAGCTGAGTGAGAGAGAGGATGTGATGTGTGCGTTAGTTTGAGGGCGAATGGAAAGACTGAAGGAGACTAGGGTGAGAAGCAGTTAATATTATTTGGAGCTAATTAATTAATTTAATTAAAGGGAAACAAACTATATAAACTGACGATGTGGGTTGAGATAATTCAGGGGAGGTTGGAGGCAGTTACGGACGATGTGGAACTGACCTATTACCTTTTACTTATTTTCTTCCTCTGTTTTTGTCTAATTCAAAATCTTAAAATTATTTTCGGTTCCACGATCCTGTGATTTAACTCATTTTTTGTTTATACCATACACATATATGGGTGTGTCATTGATGGATAAATTATACATATATTTTTAAGTTATCCTTTCATATCAAACACCGCCTTAGTCTCAGATCACTGTAAGCTGTAAATTAAATTACACTAGAATCTATAATTTTGTAACCTTCTTATAAATATGTCATTATATTGTTGAAGTAATTAAGTAGTTTCTTGCAACTGAAATTCTGAATCTGAATTATTATTGTAATAAATCTAGCGTAAATGGAATTTCATGAACACATATGGATATTATTACAAGCTTATATAGCCTAATGCAGTTATCTTAGTTTTTTTAATTTCTTATTCTTACTAATATTACTAATCTGCAGATTTAATTTTTCTTCAACCATTTAAATTGGCTACCACTTAGGCTATTTGTAATTCGTATACCCAAAAAAGTACCAAATATTTTTTTTAAATATAATTGACGGGAAAATATGTTATATAAATAAAAGAAAACAAAATTTTTGAATCATAAATAACTATGTGTTCATTATTCTACAGGAAAAATAATACATTTATTCGTGTAATAATCATGGTTATTTTAAAAATTAAATATAATGCAAGTATTTGAGAATGTTTTGTCAACGTTTACGATTTTAATGCCATCAATTTTTAGTCATGATTTTAGAAATAAATGACTAAAAATAGATCTTTTTTTTTAATTAAGGGATCAAATAAAATGTTATATAAAATTAAGAAAACTAAAAATTGCCCTACATATGGTGGGGGTTTATGGCGTTGCCATTGTGGAAAGCTGATTAACCACAAAACAGTGTGGACGGACAACAGCAAGTGATCGCGTGGCCTAATGGATAAGGCGCTCGCCTCCGGAGCGGGAGATTATGGGTTCGAGTCCCATCGCGATCGTTTTCATTCGTATTTTTCAATTTCCAGTGTTTGTACTGATCAATTCCAATAGCCGCACTTCGTGGCTCGTAACGAGAGACAGAGAATCACATGGCAGCACATTTTCTGAGAGTATTTCTATTTATAGTACTACCTCTTATTTTTAATATAAAATTTTATTTTATTTTTATTTTAATCCTAATTATAATATCTTAATCTATTTTATTTCTCATATTTATATTTTTTTAAAATAATCCTTATAATAATAGTAGTTCTAGTAATTAGTAAGGATATTTTAGGAAAGATAATATATATTTATTACAAGTAATTAACTTAACTTATTTTTTAATTTTCTTAAATTAGTCAACTAACTCTTAAGGATTAGAGGTAGTATTGTTTTTTTGGAAAAAAAAAAAGAAAAATTAATCGATATAACTCAGTCCATAAACTTTTGATTAGTTTATAATTCAATCCTCCATTGTTTTTGCTTTTTATATTATTATCCTTATCATCTTTTACGTGTCAAACATTAATCCAAGTCAGCTCCACACGGCAAAATTTCTTCCACCTCAGCTCCAGGGTCTGCGACTGCGGCCTCGCCTGCGCCAGAGGATGTTCCCGCCTCCGATTATCTCAAGCTCCAAAGACCCTTTTTGATCATCTCAAGCTCCAAAGACCCTCTTTGATCATCTCAAGCTTCAAAGACCCTCCCTAGCCCATCTATCAATAGCCGCCGACTCCATCCCGAATGCCCACATCACATTGGAACTCGTCATTGTTTCCGTCAATCTTTTTTTTTTTTGCAGAATGACAGGCCTTCTTGACGGCTCTACTCTAATCAGCACCAACTATGCACTCGCAATTCTTAACAAAATAAAAAACATTGGAATAAACAAGAACCTAGCGTTTGATTTATATATGTAGGTGATTATAGCTTTTGTGATTGGAAAGGTGATCCAATCCATGGATAGTGAGTTTGAGGAGGATGACCTTGTGCTCCATCCATATTTACCAGCAGCAAGAGTACTGTGTGGTGACCTCACACACATTAAAAAAAAAAAATACTGATCCCAACATTGGCATTTCATTGTCTGATTTCCTAAGCTGCTTGGGTGGATTGGAAGTTGGAGGGAAGGAGAGAGGCGGCAGGAGAAAATAGGTGTTGGGAGGAGAGCGATGATCAGAGAGGTCCAAGGTGGTGTATAAGTTGGGTGAGGTCAGAGAAAAGGAGGGCAAATGAGCTAGAGGTTGCGAACGTGTAGCTGAATAGGAAGAGTTTTTGCCATGCAGAGCTGACTTGGATTAATTTTTGCCACATAAAAAAATGATAAGTATAATAATATAAAAAGCAAAAAAAAAAAAAGAAGTAAAGGACTTAGTTATAAGCGAGTAAAAAATCTAGGAATTGAGTTGCATAGAGTCATAGTTAAATTGAAGGACTGAGTTGCAAGTGAGTCAAAAGTTGGAGGACTAAAAGATTAATTTTTCAAAAAAAAAAATCCTAATCATAATTCTACCTCTACTGTTACATTTTCCTCAAAGCCAACAGTAATTTTTTTTTTTTGAATGAGAAATAAAAATTTTAAAATATAAAACTCTAGAAAGCCCCTTTACAAGTATTCATATTGTTAAGAATGAAGACCAAAAATATTGTGAAATTAAATTGACATATTAGAGCTTTAATTAATTTATATATTAAAAGTATGAAAACCCATTTCAGTTTTAAATCACATCTTGTTAAAAGCAATGAAACTTATATATAAAAGTTATTATTCAATTTCAGAATTTCTGATTAAATTTATTCAAAATAATAGTTTTTAAAAATATAAGTAGATATGGGCTTATTCATTAAAATAAGCCATATTATTCTTTTGACTAAATTTACTATATACACAAGAGTTAAGAATTAAATAGTACATCACTCCGTTAAGTTTAGTACCTCCATGCATAAAGGAAAAATTTCCTCCAAACTAGACTTTTACAT